TTTTTTTTTTTTGGCGGTAACCATAATGGTGGTCGAGTAGATCTTGTTGTGCGGGGTCGAGAACCCTCACTCCGCGCAACGGGGGATGATCGCACCACGTTGTGTTAAAATGGTCAAGCTTCCTCTAGGCAGTTACACAGTGCTTACAACTGTCTCTGGAAGTGAAAGCACCAGAAAATAAATTAAGTCATACGTAGCTGTCATCCGTACGCAAGGAAGTAAGCACAAGATGCCGAACACCCTTAGCAGGATGCAGCTCACCCTTCATGCGACTCGCCAAATACCTCACGGCGCTTCGCGCTTGGTGATGTGAGAGCCTGGTCCGGTAGGAACCCGGCGTGCTCCGTCCCGGCTTTGTAGGGATGCGAGGTCAATGGTCAAACGACTACGGCATGCACGACTATGAGTACACCCCCCCCCCACCCCGCTTGACTGATGTCCTGGCTCAGATCGAAACCGATTCTTCACAAATGTGCGAGCGGCCGCACAAGCGACGCGGCAAGGCGGGCACCCCGGCGAACCCTGCGGCGGTTACACTTTCCCCGAAGGTAAGGGCTGTTGTTGCTGCTGCTGCTGCTGCTGCTGTTGTGCTTGTTTGTGTGGGGATAACTCGTGCGTTCAATTCGTCTGTTTCCGGCGGAAGGGAACAGAGTGCTGCGTTAGGGGGGGGGTGGCATGTTCAGTTTCGTTGGTGGGCGGGAATCATTGCACCATAATCACGCTTCAGCGGCCGCTACGTGGCCTCTTTCGAGATCTGCAAAGCATTTGTCATGTATGTCGACGTCGATGGCACGAATTGTACACTACGTAATTTTTTAGATTTATGAGCCCGGCTGAAGCCCCATTGTGGCCAGGGGGCACAGCTGATACGAAGGGGCGGTGGTAGCAAGAGAATATAAGAAACTAACGTACTTTGCGCAAAAAAAGGATAATTGTACACAACATGGTTGACTCTCTTCCTGTTGTTCCACCTCCACTCTGCCTGTGGCATGATCACGGAAACGAAAAAAAAAAAAAACACACACACACACCACGCTTCTGCTGCTTCTGCTGCTGCTCTTGCTGCTGCTGCCTCGCAGGCGATGCGGCGAGACTCCTTCGCCGCATCTCCCGCCGCCGCCGCCTGCGAGTACGACGACGACGAGGAGGAGGAGGAAGACGAGGCGATGATGATGGTTTCCGACGGGGACGCTGGGCTTGGCTTCCCCTCCTCGCCGCCCTTTCCCAAGACCCTTGCGGAGAGGCTGGAGTTGGTCAAGGGCGAGGAGGCCGAGCTGCTGCAGGAGTTCGAGGAGACCCACAAGCGGATCGCTCAGGTCGGTAGTCCTTTTAGGACTGATTGCCTACGCAAATAATGTCTGTCAGTTTTTTTTACGAAGGAAGACCAGGCAGGGGGTACGCAGACGATAATCCCTAACCCACACTTCGCCGATTCTATTATTTATCCAAGTATGTTTGGTTACCTGCGTAGACTACTGAATCTCAAGAACCTCTTGTCGTTGGCATTGACTAAGCGCGTGTCTGCCAACGAGGAGCACATTTTGGGCGAGGCTGGTGTTCTTCAATAGTTCCTCTTGTGGGCCACGAGAGGCCGCCATGTAGTGTAGGGGTTCTTCACCGGCCTCTCGCAAAACGGTGTCCAAGTTCTCGTGTTTGATTTGATGCTCTGAGCAATCAAGCTCTTTACTGCCAAGTTCTTAACTGCCATGTTTTTAACTGCCATGTTCTTAAGTTCTTAACATAACTGCCAAGCTCTTAACTCCAAAGTTCTTAACTGCCAAGTTCTTAACTGCCAAGTTCTTAACTGCCATGTTCTTAACTGCCATGTTCTTAACTGCCAAGTTCTTAACTGCCAAGCTCTTAACTCCAAAGTTCTTAACTGCCAAGTTCTTAACTGCCATGTTCTTAACTCCAAAGCTCTTAACTCCAAAGTTCT